GAAATATTAATCAACAGAGCTTCTTCACCAGAGCTGCACACACACACAAAGTGTTACTGTTTTGCCTTCTGATCTACACTGGAAAGCATTGAATACAAAGGAAAATCTATTGCATCATCTTCCTGTTTTATGGCACGCCAGTGTTTGCATCTGGATTTATGCCAACAAAATTCAAGCATCTGCTTGAATTTTAGAAAATGCAAAGTTTTTGCAAGGAAATGGGAGAAAAAAGGCCAAAGTTAAAATTCTCTTGAAAAGTATCAGAGGCAATGTATTTTTAAAGCCCTCTAGAAGTTGTATTTGTTACAGAAAGGGAAACTTTCAATTGTTTTGTTCATTTTGCAAAAGAGATCAAAGAAAATCTGAATTCCAGTTGAGGAAATAGCAGCTAACAGCTAGTGTTGCCTCCACTCGGCTGAAATATCTTCAGTGACTCACTGTTTGCCATCGTCTCCTTGTTTTTTCGTATCTGAGGAACATTTGGCCCAATCCTCACTTGTAGCTGGGAGATGTTTGAGAGGCTTCAAGCCGGTTTCAAGTTACGTCACAGCCGATAAATGAAACCAAAATCTGTTGACTCACCCCAGAACTACATTTCTTAGTATTCAAACAGTCATTGCTGAATTCATTGGCATGTTTTGGATTATTGTCATGTCGCAATGACCGGTTCTGCACCTACCTAATTATTTTTTCTGATGGTCTTATTCTCCTCAAGCATTCAGAATAATGTGATGATATTTGTGGCACTTCCTTTCTTTATGGTATTGAAAGTATTGAATGGCGTATTAAGTCAGACTCATCTGTCCACAGAACATTATTGTAGAAGAGCTGGTCTTTACATCTTTTGTGGCTAACTTTGCCTTTTTATGTTTTTCTTAGAGAGCATAAGGTTTTAAACTTAAACTTGTGAAGTCGCATTTTGATTACATGAAGAAACTTTTGCGTAACGGTAACAAGAATGAGGTGTAGGCCATGTGATAAAACTTTATATTTTTTGGGAGCTTCTTTTAGCATCTTGCCGTCTACTCTCAGGGTGAATTTTCTTGGTTGTTGGCAGTTGTTTCAAATATACAAACTATTTTTTGTGCAGTGGGAAAGCTGAATTAAATTCTTCTGAGACATCTTTAGATTGTCTCCCAGACTCAGAAAGTGACACAGACCTCTTTCTGGAGACCTAGTTCTATTTTACTGTTTACTCTCATTTTTAACATTCTGTTGCACACCAGATTAAATGTCTGAGGCTCAATAAGGGCAAACCTTAATCAAAATGTGGGGTTCGGTCATATTACGGATGTAATATCCTTGTCTTTAATGTCAGCCACTTTAAGTGTGAATAAATGTGTTTCTTTCGTTCTTATTATGTATATGCGTTGACTTAATTTCTCAATATTGTTGAAATTCATATTAAATATTTGCATGTCCCGTTTTGTTTGAAAACACATGGGGTGTTACAGAGTGCCCGAATTTTGTATGTATTTCATTGTAGCCAGGAAAATGAATGAATGAAAATAAATAAGAGGCAGAGAGATCTAAAAAGAAAAGTCATCCCACTCTGGAAAATTATTCATTTGGAGACCATAAATATGGTGACTGCTATAATATTACAACTAATAAAAACTAATTTACTCTTTAAAGAAATTTGCAACACTGAAAATCTTGGTGTCAAAGACAGACACTTCATATGTGTGAATAAATTTTCACTTTATACTAATGCAAACTTAATGCCTCTCTGCTTTGTTACGGCATAATTTAAATGCAGTAGATCTCTATCTTGTTTCGAAGAAGCCATTTCTGTAGGTTAATGGTGTTAAGCCTTAGTTTTATCATAAGAACGCACCTTTTTACTGTAAAGCAGCAAGCGCATTCACAATGGATCTTATCTACACCATTTGTTCCACCCACAACAAAGTGCCTTAGACAAGAAATAAAAGGGTGTTCCTGAAAGGCCGATTGTGTATGTTTGTATCTACCTTTCTCGTCCTACATTAATGACTAAGCCATGCAATCACTTGTACTTATCTACTATTTCACACATTAGTTTATATACATGTACAAATGCAAACCTTGGAAACCAGAGGGGATTCATTAGAGCTGAACTTAATGCCATGAGATGTGCAGCAAACTCACTGCATAATGAGCGACATGTCATCTGAAATAGTTAATTCCCCTCCTCCTGTATCAGAAAGAATCAAAAGTAGAGGGAATTACCTCTTACTCATCACAAATTTAGCAAAACCTCGAAAGGTGTTCAATCGTTGTAAAACAGGCAGGTTAAAGGTCAAACATTTGGCCCTGCTTTATGCACACAGCCACTCCAATACGATGCATATCGCTTCAACATTTTTATGCAAGTACATTACATTTATCACCTGTATTTTACATAACCAGTCATTTGTTTCTCCATCCCAGTATTATTTTAATCACTGTTATCTTGAAATGATTGCTCATTAGCTTAGCTTTAGCCAAATATAACTTGGAATTAGCTAGCATTGCTATTATTATATATATATATATATATATATATATATATATATATATATATATATATATATATATATATATATATTATATATATATATATATATATATATATATATATATATATAGTATTAATATATTGTAATAGTACAATATATTAACACCATTGTAAAATCTGATCAAGTTGCATGTTGGTTTGTTTGCTAATAACAGAAGCACTTTTATCCCTTTAGCATTTGCATTTTATATGATTATGTTTTATTATGTATGCACTGGAGACTGTATTTATTCCTCTGCTTTTTTAGCATTATAGTAATTTTCTTATAACTTCTCTATGTTAGCATATTATTCACTTAACCGTAGCTGTGTATCATTTTGAGAGCCTTAATTCACTCAATTTTACAGCTTTATGTTACCACACTTTTTAAATAATGTTGATTCTCTAGATAATATTTCTTTTGCTCAGTATTCTGTGTTGGCATAATCTTTGGACTGTAAATAACTAGTTTGGGTCTTTTTGAAACCCAAAAGTACAAATTTTGTTCACAAAACATTTAATGTAACATTTATCCAAATGTAGTATTATTTTTCTATATGAAAACCTTCCTAAACTGTTAGTCATGGCATATAAGGTCTGTTTCCATTACATCATTACTAAAGTGTTATAAATGGAAAATCTTGCATAGTGTTATTCCCAGACATTGATCAAAAAAAGAAAGTCCTGGTGGTTATCAAACTGATAAATTAAGTTAAAACAGGAACATTTGTGGTAAAAGTAGATAAATTAAAATAAAACTATAACAAAAATAGACATCATTAAAGAAAATATCTTTGGTGAAATCTTTGTACAATTAATTTTTGGTATCTAAATTATCCCATTTTAAAAACTCCTGTGATTTGTAATCATTGTCTTAATTCAGTTTCAAAACAAAGCATCGTTCTTTCAGAGTTCAGTTCATCTCAATAAACTTCACAGCTGCTGCATTTGGATTTCTAAAAAGTTGTGTGTTGCGCTTGTGGAAGATAACGTCTGTCTGTGAGTGCAAGACTGTGACAGCCAGGGGATAAATATGTAAATTAAAACAGATTGAGTCATGCAGTTATATATATTGTTGCCTTGCTCTATATCTCAGTTTCACAGGAAAACTAATTTTATAGCTTCTTTGTCGTGACTCTGACCTGTATTTTGGGTGCTGAGCATCAGCGGGCCCCGACTGCGCCAGAGTGTTTGTAGCCACAGCTGTGTGTCATTTTGATTTGGAGTAACTCAGCTTTTTCCGCCGCTTTCCCTGGCAGTGAATCTGGGGACGCCCTGACCTCCCAGTTACCTCGTCTCACTGAAACCATTGGTGGTCAAAATGAGTTCAACATGTAAAGCCCCGGCAATCAAGAGCATCTTCTGGGGCATCTTTTATTAACAGCAGCATTAAATATTCACCCACAGACTCAGCCTTCTCTAAACCACCACCTCCCCACCCGTTCTTCACTCTAATTCTAAGGAAACAAAGCGAGTATTTGGTATACTGACGCCACCAATCATTTCTTTGGTTTAAAATAAAAAAAATCCCTCATAATAAATTGAGACTATTTCAGATTTTCATGTAATTGTCCCCTCTGTTCGAATATGTTGGGATTTTTTCTATTTACACTGACTAGTTATGATAAAAGTAAGACAGTATATGTCACACAAATATGTTTATTGAAATATAAGTTTTTTTAAGATGGAAAATATGTTTGAGACTTCAACTATCGCTTTAAATTGAGTGAAAATAGCCAAAAATCCTTCTTTTTGTTGAATAGAATTGTTTTAATGACAATTTAAGTTCATAATGCAAAACAGGATTTTTTTCACACCCAGAGCTCCAAAAGTTTAGTGGCTTCTCAGCTTCTTTGTTGGACAAAAGTTCTCTCAGTTAAATGTACGTTTGACCAGAATCGATCAGCCACTTCAAACATGGATATTTAGGTAGCACACAAGGGGCGTGTTACCAAGCCAATAAGGAAAAAGAAGGAATGAACGTAGCTAATAAGGAAGAGTTAGGCCGTTGTGATACAGGAGCGTTTCACAGATGTACACAGCAAAAACAATAAACCATATTTTTAGTTTAGTTTCTAGTGCAAATATCTTATTTACACTTAAAACAAGACCAACTAACTTAAAATAAACTTTTTAGAGAAATGTAGAGGTTTGTTTTAAGTAAATAATTCCTTAATATTGATGAAAAAGTACTTGTTGTTTTCAAAGAAAATTATTATAAGATGTGAAGAATGTGTTGCTATGAGTAAAATAATCTGCTGATAGAACTGATACTTTTTCATTAATATCAAGAAATGCTTTGCTTAAAACAAGCTTAGTTTTGGCTTATTTCAAGTTTACTAAGTCATTGGCGCTAAAAACTAGACCAGAAATACTTGTTAAGATTTTATATTTCTGCAGTGTGCTGTTTATGTGTTTCTTTTTTATTCTTCAAGTTGTATGAGTTCAAGAAATGTCAGATAAACATTCACTTGTGTTTATCCAGGAGGATGTTTCCCTTCCTGAGCTTCAACATCAGCGTGTTGGATCCGTCCGCCCATTATAACGTCTACGTAGACGTGGTTCTGGCCGATCAGCACCACTGGAGGTACCAGGGAGGCAAATGGGTCCAGTGTGGGAAAGCAGAGGGTAACATGCCAGGTGTGTATAAAACCATCGCACTAAAGAAATCCACTAGATGAAATTTACATTTTCAAATCTCAAAAAGGTGAAAAAAATGCAAGGTAAAAATTACACATATAAAAATAAAAATTAAAAGTTTTTCTGAAATTTTTACTAACAGATATTGTTGTAGTTTTTACTTATTTAGAGGATTCAGGCTGAACTTACTCTGTAAATAAACTAAATTGGTTTAGATTAGTTTCTCAGTCAAGTTAATTTGTTAACCACTTTTACTACGAATGGCATTAAAGTCACACTTATGTTAGAGCAGCACAAATTTATTCCACATCATACTTTATGCTGAAACTGTTTTTCATACATAATCAGCAGTTTTCACTTTGGTATTGAAGTGTTGAAAGCAGCATATTCATCCTCCCAGTAGTAATAAAGTAACTTTTGTCTTGAAAGTGGTTCTTTTTCTTCCTCTTATCTTTTCAAAATGATTCATTTCAAGTAATGTCATAAATCTCAGAAGACGTCATAACGCTCTTACTGCTTCACAAACAAAACAAAAAGAACCTGCACCAGTGCCTGCCAATAATGCACTTACCCCACCTTCAGCCACAACTGATGGAGAAAAAACTCAAAGTAATCTTCGTGAACCCAGATTTTCAGCTGTAGATTAGATAACATCAGGTGGAGCACAAAACCTCTTTTCAGGCTCTGGAGAGCTCAGAAGTTTTCATCTCAATGCGTGCAACATGGAGGATCTCGAGGAAGTGGTTTGTGTAGCAGCACATCCACAGGCAATAGAGGCAACCAGAATGTGCATCACGATGCACTGGTAGGCACTTTCTTGTGGACGCTCTGGTGTTGCTTTACGTCTGCCGCTTCTCTGCAGGTTCTGTTTGGTTTGATGAAACCGACTTAAATCATAGCTGAAGCTACAGTTCACTGTCAGGACTTTTAACTCTTTAGAAGCAGCAAAAAAAACAGGCTAGATGTGCTATTTCAATGGATGGTAACTTTACTTTTATGGTTTTTACAGATTTAATTATCAATGTCAGCGCAATGAAGCCACAAGGTTTTCCACTTTAGCCTATAGACGTCACTATATGTTAAAATATGGATGTCTTTTTAAACAATACAAAATTATACACTGTATAAAAATGATATAATGCCTGTAAAAATTAATCACAGCAGATCCTCCTGAAAGCACTCTGCTCACAGTGATGCATGTTGGAGGCAGCATCATGCTGTGTGAAGGCTGATCTGATCAGATTTGGTGGGAAAATGAGTTAAGATAAAGCTTTTCCACCCATTCACCTTTGACACTTTATCGTGCTACAAACACAAGGAATGAATCTAATGTATCCAAAGATTCATTCTATCCAACCAGTTTTGGATAGAAGCTGAATTTTTACTCAGTTTGACCGAATCATTCTAAGACACTAATATGATGTATGTATTGGAAACAAATGAATAGTTCTTTGGCAGACCTGTGCAGAACCTGAAGACATGCTGAGGATGTAACTCAACTAGTTGCATCTCTCAACAGTTCAGTGAGAAGTCTTCAAAGACAAGACCCTTGCTGAGGTTCCTCTGGTCATTCATAAACCACAGAGTAAAGCTGCCACGTTCGTGTGTCACCATGTGAATGGTGTGTTCAGGGTGAAGCAAAGTGTCACTTTCTCTCTTCACACTGTATTTTGTACATAAGAGGAAAAAAAAACCTACTTTGGTCTGATCTGATAGACCAACCCCTTCCACCATTTTGGTGCCTTTTGAAGGATTTGAGGGCATGAACTGCCTTCACATTAAAATGTATATTTGCTATTTTGGTTCAATTCAGTTTATTCAATTTAGTTAATGTACATGGGGCCAATCCACAACAAATGTCATCTCGAGGCACTTCAACAAAAAGATTTATTTCAGTTCAATCACTCCTGCATTCCAGTTACTCCTACTTATTAAACAGCACAGAAAACTCTGTTCATTTTTCAAAGTACCTTACAAAGGTTTTGAGGAAACCCAATAGATTGCATTGATTGCATTCACTCCTCCTGGACCAGCAAGTATCGGCAATCGCTTGTGTTGTTGACTTTACATTAATCCCCACCAAGCACGTATTTTAAAAGTTTTCTTTAAAAGTTAAAAAAAAAATGGTTTTATGTATATTAACTTAGGATATGAGCAAAACAATTGGTCCATGTGTTTAGATCCTCCCAGTCCTATTTGGGGCCCACTTCATTTCATTTGAAAAGTTTTTTTTGGGAAAGAATTTTTTTTCCCTACATCTTATACTCCTTGATCTCTTCTCCTTCAACTCCACTGTTCTTCCTGTTCTCACTTGAATAAAACACATACACATAAAAGCAAGTTGAACCTATGATTGATGATAGACAAACCACATTCATATAAATGACAGAAACTCTAAGGTGTTGTCACACGTTTGCCAGTTGTTGTGGAAAAGGCAAATGATGATGTGCTAAAGTTGTGGAAACTGTGGTGACACAGCTTTTCTCAATTAGATTTAATAGTGCACTTCATGTGGTATGAACAAAATCAGGTTAGAAGGTCATTGTGGTGATGCTGTGAAAATTCATGGCGGTACAGTTTATGAGAGCAGTAAAGTATCAAAGGAATTAGAAAGCATAGCATGGCTGATTACAGGATGCAGCACTTAAAGTGGAAATGTGTTAAACTGACAAAGACAAAAAATCATAATAATATTGCTTTTTAAATTATTTTGCAAACAGAAATCAAATGTTCTGGATTTTTTAAGCGGTACAAAATGGATGGATGGGTTATGTGACCTATAAATTTCTTAATTTATCTATTAATCTATTCGAGTGCCTTGGAAAAATATTCAAAATAGTTCAAATGTTTCATATTTTGTCTTGTTACAACTACAATCCTCAGTGTATTTTATTGGGTTTTATGTAACAGACCAGCAAAAAGTAGGGCCTACCAAAACATCCACCTAAACTGACAAGTCAGACGAGGTCAGCATTACTAATCTGAAATTGGAGAATCTCTTGATAAATCTCGGATTAGTCTTCAGATTTCAGACCTTGGCTCACATTCAAAATGCAATGTGTGGACGTCACTGCATATCATCTTTAAAACAAACTATAGCAACAGTAAAACAAGAGGCAAAGTCATTCTGTGGGGATGCTTTTTCTTAGCAGCTTGACTGGTTTTCCTCCAGCTTCCCTGCTATCTTGTCTAGCACATGAAATCCCAAACAAATAAAATGAGGTCAGTCAAGATAAGAAAATGTAAAAGGTCAAGTGGTAAAAATACTTTTGTAAGTCACTGTCAAAGTGCAACTAAAACCCTTGTTCCTGTGGCTGATGACTTCCTTTGGTGACTCCAGGGAATCGGATATACATGCACCCTGACTCTCCCAACTCAGGGGCTCATTGGATGAGACAAGAAGTGTCATTCAGCAAGCTTAAGCTCACCAACAACAAGGGCAGCACCAACAACGTGGCACAGGTATCACCTCCCTCCTTCCTTTTCAAATGATCCCTTGAAAATCAAACAGTTTGTGTCAATATTTTTTTACATTTGCTAAATTGAGCTTTTTGTCACACAGAAATGTGTTCTAGTGTCTCGGTCCTGACATGTTAAAATCCCTGAATCATTGTGTGAAAGTGTTCTGGCATCATTTGATTTTTTTTTTGTCCTAATAAGGTGATTTTGTGATTTTTTTTTCCCCCTCAGATGATTGTGCTCCAGTCGCTCCACAAGTACCAGCCACGTCTTCACATAGTGGAGGTGAAGGAGGACGGCTCAGAGGACCCCTTCCTGTCCTCTAAAGCTCAGACGTTTGTCTTTCCTGAGACGCAGTTCATCGCCGTCACGGCTTATCAGAACGCAGACGTAAGATTTATTTTTTTCGCACACATTGTTCACTGGAAGAAATTAGATTATATTATTACTTAGCTGTTATAGTTCTTTTGAAACTGAATGGATCTGATTTTTGCATGCATGCATACAGTGGCATGGAAAAACTATTTGCACCTGTCCAGAATTTTTCTGTTTTTGCCTTTTTTTTTCTCTCTCTTGCATGTTTCAAATAACAAAACTAATTTTAACAGCGGTCTATATGCAGTATAGACATACTGGCATCGATTCTGTAGGTATGATCACCCACTTTGTGATTCTAAATATCAACTCTTTCCAGCATGTTGACTTCGTTAATTATTACTCAGTGACCTCCTCTCTAACTGCTCTCTTGTTTCTTCATGGTAGTTGCTTACTCCTTCTCTTTTTCCTGTGCCTACATTCTCTCGCTGCCCTCCTCCTGTTCCCTACACAGATCACTCAGCTGAAAATAGACCATAACCCCTTCGCGAAAGGTTTCCGCGACAATTACGACACGTAAGTAATTTGGAAAATACTTGTGTTTGTAAAGAGAGCGCAGCAGCAAATCCTCTCCTTTTTGCTCTGGTTTGAGAACATTGTGTGAACTCGGCCTAAATAATGCAACTGGATCAGTGCTGTCACTGAAATGCCCTGAGTGCTCATGTCGCCTTTTTAATATTAGAATAGGTGCAATTACTGCGCTGCTGCTGAGCATGCTGCAGTGAAGGGGTGTGAGGGGCTCTGAGATGTTTGATAGTTGTTTGAGGTTTGGGCAGGAAATAACACCTTCTTCTTTTTCCTCTTCTTCTCACACTCTCTTCTCTTCCCCTCCTCCTCCCTCCTGCCTAGGCTCTACGCTCCTCCCGACTCTGATCGCCTCACCCCTTCCCCTACAGAGGGCCAGCAGTTGCTACCGGGGACCTGCTACCCACAGAGCTACCTTTCTGAACAATATATTAGCCCCCTGTCGCAGACCCGCTTCTATGGCCGTGATCACATCGGCATGGGCCAGCAGCACAAAGACCCATCCTCTAGCCCTGGACCCCACAGTCGCTGGTACCTGCCCCCACAGCAGAACATACCACCGAACCGGCTTGACTTCACATCCTCCTATGAGGGGGACTTCTCTGGAAATGGCTTCTACAAGCCGTTCCCCCTGCAGACGTCCGCTCACCATGCCCTCAGCTACTACCCAGAGCATCATTTTGCGTCGAGCAGCGTATCGGTATCTGCGGCCGGGTCAGCAGGATGGAGCACAAGCAGGCACACTCCACAGTATCCCAGCAAACCCGCCCCCACTCTGAGCTGGTTCAGACCCATTTCGTCGTCCTCCTCCTCCTCGTCATCTTCCACGCCCCCCGGGAATCCCAGGCTGCACCCACCTACGCTCCTGGAGTCCCTGCAGCCGCCCGTGCTGCATGAAAAGCCGAAAGACCCCACCGGAGTGGCAGCTGAGGACCCCTGGCTCGAGCCACCCTCCGTCAAATCAGCAGACTCGGCCGACTCGGGCATGTTTGAGGGAAACAAGAAGAGGAGAGTCTCGCCCTACACGTCCAGCACTGAAAACTCCCCGCCTCCGCGTGCTGCAGAGGTCTGTGAAAAAGACAGCAACAGCGATCCAGACTACTACGGCTATTACGCTCACTGAGGGCCTCTTGTTTCATCACAAACGTTTCTTAACGCCCTCTCACAGAGCCCTGAGTCTGTCCGGTCTGCCAGGTCTTCATGATGGATTGAAACGAACAGAACCACAAAATATCAGCCCTCACAGCGGAAAAACATCCACACCGTAAAGTTTCATCTCACAAGAGTCAAATGATCACAGGAGGAACTGGTAAGGACAGTGACAAAATGAACAAAAGTGGATATGACTGGGACTCTGGCCTACAGTCACATAAACACCAAACAGACATACAGAGGTGTGACTGAAGTCTTTGAAACATCTGGAGATTTAAGAGGGGGGGAAAGCCCAAACATCTGCATATCTGCTTGCTGACAGATGCCTGCAGGAATTGTCTGTTCTTTCTGCATCAAACCCACTCCGGCTGCGGTGCCATGTCTCGTCTGTGTCTTCCTTCGCACCCTCAACCGTTTACACATTTCTTCACGATGTGCTCACATTCATTTCTCCCAGTGATTCTTTGCCGAAACTGGTTAGCAAAAAAAAAACAAAAAAAAACAACAGAAAAACTCATGTCCTCTCTAACCTTTGGCTTATAATAAACGATGCAGCTCCCACTTGTGGCAGTAGAGGAGAAGTGCAAGCAGATAGTGTAAAGGTCAATGTCAGAGCAGGTTTTAGGACAGCTTTGCAGACTAGTGTTAAGAATGGCAGTGACGGCAAAAGCACAATAAAATAGACGCGTTATCTGAAGATTGCACAGCATCTGACAGTGATCATTGCATAATGTTTAATCATACACACAAAGTCAAAAACAAAGGCAGATTCAGTTCCTTTCATGTGTTCAAACACCAAGAAGTTTTCCAAATTTTGTTTCTTTATTACCTCAAACCTGTTTTTAATGCCATTCTGTGATAGACCGATGCAAATTAGTGAATACTTAAGAAGCTCAACAACTTTTTGATACTTTTTTTTCTTCTTTTTTTTTATTTTTTTACAAATAATGTAAACAATGTGACAATATTGTTTATAGAATCCCTCTAGTTTTATGGCTCTGTGCTCAAAGTGTGCATGGAGAGACTGAAATTTCTGACTATTCTTCTGTGCAAAAACACCTGAACTTTAAATTTCAAATCAATTGTTAATCAGAGTTAATTTTTGCATTTGTTTTGATCTAGAGTTCATCTCATGCAGGAAGATGATCTTCAGCTCCAGGATCAAGTCTCTATTGGGTTTTCTTGGGAATATCCAATACGTATCTGAGATACGGATCTCAGATACGTATTGGATATTAATATCTCATATTGGATATTCTCATGAGTTACGTGTCTCTGCAGCTCCCTCAGAGTAACCATGGGCCTCCTTCATAGTTGTCTCATTGTCCAGTCTGTCAATTTAGGTAAGTTTGTAGTCGTGCTATACTCTTTCCATTTTCAGATGATGGAGAGATCACTGCTCTTTAAATTTGAAATATCTGCTGTAAACTTCATTCGCCCTTTTTTTCCACTCAACGTTTAGTAGCAGCTGTAGGGTAACAATTAATTTAGATATTCCTTATGGAAAAAGCTTTTAACAAGACCAGCTGTCCAAAGGCATACGGGTGTAGAGTGCGAAGATTCTGACCTTGCAATAATTAGTCAATATCAAATCACTCCCGTCAACAAACAAATAAACCCACAATCAGTATGAGCATCAATAACTCTCCAATAGTGTCATAGAGAGAAGCATACAAGCTTTTAAAACACAGACAAAATGGCAGTCATTCTGTAGATCAGTTGATAGTAAGCCGCCCACATGCACCTGTAGTTAAACTGACGAGGCGCTGTCAGCCTCAGACCACAATAAACAGGAAGCACAAAGTGACCAGACCGACACTCTGAATTTCCCCTCTGGTCTCTGGACCCATCATGTGGTGACGCTGGTTGACAGAGGCCCGGCTCCTCGTCAGGTGACAGAAATAAAGAGTGAGGCTACAGTCGGAGCTGATCAGAGGTCTGCTTCTCACTCCTCACCAGGTGTGCTGAATGCCTCAGACAACACCGGAGGCGACAAGCGAGCACCTCGTGTTATCTATCAGGGAAATTTCAATGTTGACTGTCCAAGCTCAAATTACTTACATGGAGTTGGTGTCAACTGATGGAACCATTACTACTGTAACAAGCAGAAATTCAACAACTGCCATATGCGGTTAAAGCTGAGTAGAAATGCTCATTTTTAAAAAGCATGTTTATATTTTAACCTCTTTGTAAATTTAATGAGTTCTCTGTAAATCTGCAGAGGAAAGAAAGCGAAATATTTAAAAGCATTTCTGAAACAATGTCCTTGGAAAAAAGGTTGCTGCATCCACCTATCCATTTCTTTTCATTGTTTATACCCGCTCATCCTTGCAGAGCTGCAGGGAGAACTGCTCCTATCTACAGGGGTCCTGGACACCCTGGGGAGATTATCAGCATAGAGACATACACACAACACCCATACACAGACATAGTCATACCTAAGAACAATTTAGAGAGGCCAACTAACCTGAGTCATGTTTTTGAACATTGAGAGGATGCTGGAGTACCCAGGGACAACCCACAAATGCACAGGGAGAACAGGCAAACTCCATGCAGAAACCAGCCGCCCACTGTGCAGCCACAAGCTATGTCCTATGTAGACTAAATAACCATAACAAAGAGCAAAAATTAAGATTCAAACTTTAAAATTTTATAGTAATGTTGGTGCACCTGGGTGCTGAAACTATCCACTTGTTTAGCCTATTTTTTGCTAAATGACACCATGTACCTACTTATAGTAGCTAATAGCTATAATTTACTGGTGACATGGCATTAGCTGAAGCTAATCAGCAGCTTTTTGTTGTTTATTTAATGCCAGAAATTAAATAAGGAGATTATGAAATGTGTTTGTAATGGTCTGAATGATAACAAACGTAATGATTCATTAAATAGTAACAAGGTGCTGAAAACACATTAGAGAGAAAATCTCAATGTTTCTTGTGTTATATTTCTAAAAGAAAATGTTTCTTATTTAATTTATTCATATTTGTCAAATAATTATTCTCGGAATACATTGATGAAGGTTTTCCAGTGTTTTCCAAAAGGGCATTTAAATGAAATGAAGATGTTTTAGTTCGAGGGTGCTTGTGCAGAAACAAAGAGGAAAAAGTGTCACAGAAATACCGGCCTGCAAATATATCGGTTGCTTTTTTTATTTTCTGTGGTCTCCATGGTATACATATATACCATATATATATACCATATATACTTGTCTCCTCACCGACAAGGCGGCAAAATCTCACATCAAACAACTGCATTAAAATGCTGTCAGATACCTCAGGAAGGGCCCCTGCTGAACATCCCAGATATTATGATAAACTTTAACCAGTGACTTGGCTCCTTCATATTCCCAGTGTTTTTTTTTTTTTTCCTATGGCACATTTCCCTTTAGATGAAAACAGGACTGCGTTTCTGGAGACTTTGCTGTACAGTTTTCAAAAAAAAAAAAAAAAGCAGAGCGTGAATAAAGGAGACCACACAGCTCACGCCACAAATGTTCGTTTCTGTGTGTGAAAGGTTTGTGCCGTTTAGGGAGCAGTAATTGTTCTTTTACTCATGAGATGCTTGTAAACTGCAGCAAACAAATGAGTAATGGAGATTTGTCGAGGAGGAAAAACGAAACTTATTTATTGAACATGGCATATATGTATATTTGTTGTTTTTTTAATGAAATTAAAGCTTTCACCTCTCAACCTCTGGCTGATTTTTACTTGCTAGTTTAACTGTAATGCACATGAACACTGCAAAGCAGACATCATTAGACATCAAACTGTGATTTTTGATTTGGTCTAGTCAGCCTCTCGTCTCGCAGACAATGTTTTGGAAACTATTAAAATATGTTATCTAGACACTATTATCATCAGAACTGTTTGCTTGGATGTCAGTCAACACATATCTAATATCTCTCAGACTTATTATCTTATGTTTAAATCCACAGCGCAGTCCAGTTACCTAATGATCACTCATAACTTGGAAAACTGGTAAACGTATAAAACTGAATGTAATATTGTCTTTTAATCAGTAGGAAACCTTATGTGGTAAACTTGAGTGTGAGACACAGCTTCCAGTTCAGGAGTGGTTATGATAACATATGGATACGTGTGCGTGCGTGCGTGCGTGCGTGCATGCGTGTGTGTGTGTGTGTGTGTTTCTGTGATTTAGCATTTAAGGCCCATTTTTCCAATACATACTATAAGAACTGCTATGGGGCTCAAAGCCCAGGTTTAAAGTTTTAATTGAGTTTAGGTTAGGTTTAGGGAAAGAGTAAAGGTCAGGCTTTAGAAATGAATCAAACAGGAATGAATTGAAATAGTGCAAAATCCTCCTTGTGAAGGCAGAAAGACAGAATGTGAGCAAAGCATTAAAAACAATCCAATGTGTTCTACTGATTTTACACATGTTTAGTCAATTATCTATCTTGCTTCCTCACAAACTGGACAGTTTTTTACTTATGATATGACAGGGGGAAAAAATAATTAAATTATTATATTTAATTATATCATAATTAGTCAAGGTTACACAGAATGATGGGTTTTCCATACCATTCATACATAAAACATTACTGTTCTGACTTGAAAGTTTTGTTAAACAAAACATTTTCCAATTTTAATGTAAAATGTATTTTATTCTATACACTACAATGAAAAATAAATTGATTAGAGGAACAAGCTTGCTACAGAATGAATAACCTTAACAAAAATTTTGTTGAACCATTTGTTGACCTAATTTCAGTGTTCAGACTTCTGCTGTAAGTCTGTGAGCGCCTCACATGTTGATTTGATCAAGAGGAAATCTTTTGTCCACTGTTGGTTCCAGGAGACACGTTTCAGACCGATTTAGTTCAGGATTCTGGCTTGGCTGTTCTGACACTTTCACTCGATTCCGATAAAGATGCTGTTTGGGTGAACTGGACTCACTGTGATGCTGATGCATCGTTAGCTTTGAAGAAGAAAAATTTGTGTTTATTTGGAACTGCAGTTTTAGCCACCTTTACAAATCCCAAGTTCAACCTAAGACATAAGTAAATAAAACCCCACATCATGATACTATCTCTGCCGTGTCTCACTGTGGATATGGTGTTTATTTGGTGATGTTATAATATCTTTTGGATTTCATACTAGTTTCATAAGCAAAATTATGCACACACGTCTTCTGACTGAATATTACTTACAGTGAGATGATTTTAATCTCAAACCATTACCCATTAGATTCATCATAACTGATAGTAAGTGTGGATATCAGCATCATGAGCTCTAAATTAATCAATATTGATGAAGTTATAACCACAGAAAAAGAAATAATAATTATAAACTTTACTTAATATTTTTTTCCATTGCACCAACAATAACAATCAAAAGTAGTTGGACACATATTATCATAATCTTTATTAGTAAACATATTTTTAGATAACAGTAGTCAATAACTTGTACAAGAAAGATGACTCAAAGGGTAAATATTGCATCATTTTTGTCATTTAGCAAAGCGCTTCATCCAAAGTGAGCTACACCTGAGGAACAACATTCAGTTGTAGACTGATTTAACAAAAATCGGTGTAAATTAAAACATGTGCAGCATCCATCATTCATCGCTTAATTGCTGCTTTCCTGAATAAAACACGAAGTGAACCTGCTGTACTTTATTTGACCTCTCGAGGCAGCAAAAACAGCTGGTTTTACTTTGACTGTAAAATAGATTCCAGCTCATTTATCCAGTCAGTTAGAGAGTGTAGTTAAAGCTGTTTACTAGGACGAGATTTAAATGAAATTTTACACAAGATTCAATAACAGACTCGGGAGTCCACTAATCTTAAATAAAACTTTTAAGTTCCTAAAATTGTGCAGTCAATATTCTATAAATCACGATACAATAAGCTCATAAAAGGGAAAGCTCTTTCTGTTTTCCCACAAGTTGTGTCTAAATGTGTCGATGAAGATTCGCTGTGAGAGACCAGAAGCAGCACTGTCTCCACTCTGTCAGAGTAGGTCATTTATGCTGTTCAAAACCACCAAACGCTGGCCGTTTTCTCACTAAAGTTACGTTGTGTGCATGTCGCTGTGGTTTCTTCTCATTACCACAGGACTATATTTTCAAGATTAGAAAAACCTGGATCATCCCTGAGCTTCCAGTAAGTGCCATTGGTCAGCCACACATCCCGTCCACAGGAATCTTTGGCTTTCCTGAGGCAAAGAACAGGAGGAGATTAGTGATTTGAAAACGTAGAATATTCTGGTGATTATGGTGACAGCTGTGAAAAACATATTTCGTTTTTCATGGAAAATGGATTATACAGTTTGCACCTCTGAAATATCTTTGTGTTTCCCACGCAGTAAATGAATTAGCAGCTTGTATTCTAATAATAAGAAGAGATTGTGTTCTACCTAAAATGAAATAAAGTGAAACTAGGGAGCCTTAGAAAAATAAAGTTATGTACAATCTAATACCTACTTGGCTTTCCTAGTAGCATTTTAGAACAAATAATTTCTTCTGTGCATACAATAATAAGTTTGAATAGTTAATTTATTGAATACTTATTTAGGAAAAATTATGACCCATGAGTCAACTTTGTAAATTAAAGGACATTTTTCCACAGTTTGACCAACAAACAAATCTGTCCAGATTTAGTCCGCACTTACTTGAAAAACCGAGGAATATGCTCCTCTCCCCTCTTGGCGAACTGTTTTCTTCGCTCTCTTTGAATTTCTTCAACGTCGTCTTTCTTCTTGTCGGCCTCGGCAACTTTTCCTTCCTCCAGCATTCTTCAGAACATCAAGAAAGAAACATGACTCCAAAAGTAAGTTGCGCATTTCATTATTTTGTGCCATCATTTTTCACAACCTACACATCTATCATTTTAAACGTTGGTTTTAAATAGTGTTTGTAATCCGAAAGGATCTCTGACCTTTGGTCTGGGCGCAGGCGAGTGTCGGTAGGAGGGAGGAGAGGCTTCAGGTTTGGCGTGAGTTCATTCAGCTCCATGGCAAACGAAGAGAAGCCATAATACAGCAGGTAATCCTTTGGCTGAGGATCTGTGCAAGACAGAAGCTTCTCAAATGGGCCGCAGTGCAAACGTGACACTTGGATTTATGCTACTTAAAGCTTTCACGTCAAAAGCAGAATCTTTGTGATTAACAACATCAACGTGTGACGCAAACACCTCAGAGCAGTGTGTTTTATTTTTCGCTGAAATAGAAAGACTCACTAGGCTTCCAGATGCATTTTGGAGTCTGCAGAGTATCGCAGAAAATTCCTTCATGCCAAAGACCTCCAAACCGGTGAATGACATTGCCGCTTTGGTCGATGACTGTTCCTTGCACTTCGTTCTTGTTTGAGTCTGAACCCCAGTAACGAGACTAAATGATAAGCAAAGTCACTTTTGTTTGTTTTTTCAAAGAAGGCATTAAAAGAAAATATTCTGAGTTTCTGAGAAGCTGCTTCATTAACCTTGACAAAGGTGATCTTGCAGGTGCAGGTGTTGTTAGTCAGGTTTTGAATGGTCACCTCTCCATAATGCTCCAGATACCTCTGCTGGCTGAGCACGTTGTGGATGCAGGTTACCACTTTGTTCCACTCATAGTGATCACCATACCTAGAAAACATTCAAAATACAGTCGAGTTAAAGCGACTCCTAAGGGATCAGTCAGTAATAAAAATATCCAATATGTACATATTTTCATTTGTGTAATTTTTAAAAAACTTGATCTATTCCAAGGCTTCTGTCCCACCAATGCTCATCGTGCCACATGCCCAAAAATGTGTATTTTTAATAGATGTCTTAATTTTACATCAATTAAATTAAAGTGAAACACTGAGTCCTGTCTATGTGCTTCAGTTTGGTGTAGTGCAGCTGTATTGGGGTTAAGGATGTGACGTTTAGCATTCTGCTGTGCCCAATTGGGGGATGTTGCTGTCGCCACTTTCTCTCCATACTTATTGAGCAGGAGAATGAAGTTCATTGACCCATGACCCTGGCCTCCTTGGTGGAGGCCAGGTCCTCCACCAAGTCAGCCGTTTCAAGCATTCAGCATGAAGACGTGAATTAATTTTCATAGCATTTGCACAGGGAAGCATGAGAGTAACCAGTGATATTATTGGGTAAATGCTACAACATCTGAGTAGTACTTTCATTGTTTAAGATTGTAGTATAGAGTATGTTTGCAATGCCAAAGTTTCAAACTTTTTAATGTCCAGAAAACAGCGACAGTTTGTCTTAGCAGAAGATCATGTTGGGCTACAGTGTTGAATATGTAGAAAGGTGACATTGAAGTGTTATTTACTTACAGCAGCATATCTTTATTAAACTACCAAATCAGTCAGAAATGCAACATTGTCTTACAGCTTTGAATGTTTACTGTGGGTTTCAATAAAACAAGTAGAAAAACCATAAAAGATGGTCAGATAAAAATCTGATTTTATAATGTAAATGTTTGGATATTTCCTGTATCTCTTTATATTTTGCTCCAAAGCAGTGAAAGCTTTTTTCAGAACTTCTCTGATGCTACATATTTGTAGCTCCAGGTTTGACAACTATGCAAATCTGTTTTCTGCTTCTTCTGGAGCTTTCATTGCCAAATATTTTCTGTTCCAAATCAGAAACATATCTCTGGGAAAGTTTCTGTCCCTAAAATTTCCATTTGTTATTATTGTCCATGTCCACTGCCAATAGTTGTATTAACAGGTATTTTCTGAAAAATAATTTGTTGGTGTTTCATGACTCTTGGTGGAGGTTGTGATCTTTGCCTTGGAAACCTCTGATTTACAGGACTTAGTTTAGAGCAACAAGATCCTCGTCTACCTCCTAAAATCTCTTTAACGCTCACCTCTTCCAAGAACAATTCATCACCTAACACTTTTAGCCTGCTAATTCCCACTTACTCTGCACTTCTCTACCTGGCTGCTTCACTTGTGGTTATATTTAGTGCCTTGTGCTGAAGCCAGCGTTTCACACTAGTCGAAACAAGTAATGTTGTTCCACACTTATGCATCACTTTCAGTAACTATTGCAAATTCAGGGCTTTGAAAAGGGATTAATTCAAATAGTACTAATGCCTTTGCAAGGTTCCCATTGTGTTTGTACAGTTATTATGTATTTTACTAGTGGGGACTACGATTTGAACAAGCATAACATGGTCTCTTCATGCATTAGATATTTATGATAACAGATGATGAAAAATTATCAGATAGCTTTCAAAGCTAAAAAGATTTTGAACCTAACATTGTGTGTGAGTCATGCACTGGTAATAAATGAGCTGAAAGACAGCTCTCAAAAAGCACAACCTCATGGAATTGGTGGATTATTTTCAGTCACTGTAAAAATAAACTACACATCCAGGTGATTTTGTAGCCTAGAAAATACTGTTATTTATTTCTACTTTAAACCAATGAAAATTGGCAGTAAAAAAAAAATCATTTTATATTAACCAAATTAGCAAACTGAAATGCAGCTGATTTTGTGTGGGATAAAATACAAACTGCCAGGGGAAGGTTTTCTATTTTCTACTAGCTAAATTAAGACATGCTTTTAGCTATAAAATATCAGGTGTTGAATCTGCCAAAACAGCAGTGACTTTACAACATAAAGCAAGATGGATTACCTTGGCAAAGTTACATTGACCATTCCTGTTGGCACAATCTCCAGTGACTTTCCCCAGAATTTATTCTTCCACCTTTGGTCTGTTGACACAGAAAAACACATGTACATTTATATACATGTGAAGGAACAACTTTTTGTGAACAGATGTTGACAGAGCTGTTACCTTGCCAAAATGTGAAGTTTTCTGACTCAGCATGGCAGGCTGAGATGGGTGGGTGGTGGCATACCTGGTACAGCATGAAGAAGTGATTTAAAAACAATAAAAACTTTGACGAAAAGAAAAATCTCACGTGTTATATTTTTTATGGGGTGAAATTAAACTGTAACCGGCTGAAAAATTCATATTAATCGTCTATAAGTTTTTAAGGGAATAAATCATTTTATGTGAACCAACAGGACTTGATTAGACAGAGCAGACAAGTAAAAACATGGATTAGTCAACTTAATATCCTATCATAATTGTATTAAATCTACTGCAAAGTTCAAATATTCCTTTCAAATTCTTATGTGGATATTAAACAAAAGAAGACACAGCTACCTGCTCGCTGATGAAGCGGAAACCTCGATCATCTCTGATACACTCGAAGGTTTCTCCCAAAACTGGATTAAAGGGCTTGTAGCGGTTTCTGAACGTTGCAGTGGAATAACCAGAAATAGCAAAGGCAGCGATGTAAATCTGGATTTGTGAAAATAAAAAGAAATTAGGCTTGTTTAATTTTTTCAAAGATAAATTTGAAAATGTCTACATGTATTTCATCTGACTGAAAGGGACGGAGGTTGAAAATGTTCAAATTCATTTCAACTTTGCTTCACCTACCAACGTTTCATGTGAATTTTTTCCTTTCTTCATTTTAAATCAAGTCAAGGTTAGATGGTCATTTTGTTTCACAGCTGGTGCAAGACGAAAACATCGACAACAGACCAACACGTTGCTAATACAAGCTATCCCTTAATGCCATGACAAGTGATATTGAACTATGAAACACAGAACTACTTATTTTGTCATAACTTCTTCTTTGTAATATTGACACATTCAACTCATGACCTTGACAAAGATAGTAAGATAATTTTGTCAGCTAATATTAACACTTACACATGTTTTATTTTATTTTTTGCAGACAAACATCTTGCGTATCAGGACAGTCTTACCATCCTCTGGTATGGGTCTGGTGTGTTGCTGGCCGTGTCCAGCAGCTCGCAGTACTCCAGCTCTTCACACAATCTCTGCAGCAAGTTGACTGGCTCATTGAGAGCTGCTGGCATGGAGACTCGAGCCAAGTCTTTACCTGAAGAAAAGAACCGGACAGATGCTTCACAAACATGTAACGTCAGGTTTAGTTTTTCCTCTCTGAACTAGTAAGCGCTACTTGCCTATGTTATTGTAGAGAATAGCCATGAGGCCGACGTGGCTGTTGTCAGGGCAGGGAGCTGGTAGAGCCGTTCGACGGCCAGTGCTCTTGGGAACAACATTGTTTGGGGTCTTGGAAATACTTGCTCGGTACTTCCTGGTTGTTGATGCTGCACAGTGTTGGAAAATATTAATTAATATTGATCTGATATTTTGTTTTTTGTTTTATTTTATTTTTTGAGGCTCTGATACAGAGGGGTAGGAACTGTGCAAGCAAACACAATGAAATGTGAAGATATTTTGTTTTACTGTGATGAAAAGCATTCAGATATCTGGTTATGTTCTTAATTAAGAAGTGGCTCATATGATGATTTTATACTAGTAAAAAAAATACCATAGTTTTATGATGCCATTTGCTCTTGTTTTCTGGTTTTAATTTTCAGTTTCACGTCAACCCCAATGTTTCAATTTGCCTGTCACTTTGCTGCTTCATTTCCCCACTGAAGTACAATAAATGTTATTTTTATTTTGCTCTGTATGTTAATTATTTTTAAGACACTCATAAAAGCAAAAAGAGGTATCTGCAACATGCAGCCGTTCTTAAATACTTATTGTAAACAATATACTAAGCACACTTATATTAGCTGGGTAATTAAGGTCATGAGGTCATGTTTAATTTGTAGCTTGCCTATGAACTTTTAAATTGAGAAAGACCTCGCTGCAGCAAGCTCCTGAGTCGCATCAGGAAATATAACCTCTTTTAGGCAAAAGTACCTTTACAAGGAATTTGGACATACTGACATAAGGTTAGTTTATGTGAAAAGATGATCAAATAATTCTTTATGGGGTGTCCCAATATCAGGCCCTTGGGAACGAGGGTAATTGTTGAGGTAACATTAGTTCAAATGTTCAGCCAAGCTCACCGTGTCCCTCCTCTGGTTCTGAATTACTGGTGCTTCCGTCGCTGAGCCCGGATTCATCAGACACCTCAGAAGAGCTACCACAAAGGACGTCGTCATTGGCATCAAAATACTCTGCCGCCGAATCTGTTACTGAAGGAGGACCGTGAGACGGCGCAGGCTGGTGACAATAGACAGAGAAGCAAAAAGGAACTCTAAAACTGATCCTCAAAACAAGTAAAGCGGAAAAACATGGCAGAAGATGTTTATCGTACCACAGCTAATGTGTTAGACTGATGGAGGCTGTTGGCTTCCCAGGCTTCTTGCAATTTTTGCCTCTCCAGGGACAGAGTTTCATGCACTGACTTCAGGGAAGAAAGCACTAAAGATGCACAGGAGAATAGCTTAGAAATACACTTATACTTAACATTTCAAGGGATAATACTAGAGTATTTTCCATGGACTTTCTCTGGTCACTATTGAACATGTGGAGCCTCTAGTTCCATGTCTTCAAATTTGTTCATCTAGTTGGAAATTGAAGATAAACATTTGTGGTGCTGATTGTATTTATTTGTCTGACCTTGAGTTGACATGGTGTAGATATCCTGCTGAATTTTCTTGCCCTCAGGTGATGAGATAGAGGGAGGGGACAGCTGGGAGTAGACATAGTCGGGGATAGAGGGCACTGACACACCGAGGTGGGACGAGCTGCTCAGGTGACTGGAGGACAGCTGAGGACACATTATGGTTGAAATACTGGTTAATTTTACAGTTCGCCTGTTGTCTGTCAGTTTGTGCCTGCTTTGATCCATTATCCTGCATTAAAAGTGTGTGTTTGAACCCACAGGCACCCTGACAAACAGCTGTTTCAAACTAGGCTCAAATAATATTTGTCTACTTGTGATTGGGATGTATTGTGTATCTGTAACCAAGCAATTTTAGCATGAAGGTTTTTGACTCATGAAAGCTTCTAATGAAAAGTAGAACATGTATCTTTGTAAACTTAGTGTTCATAATCAAGGGCCTTTTAAGGGTTTTCTAGTTTTTAATCCCAAAAACATTAATTTTACCAGGACTTTATGTGAAAGACAAGTACAAAACAGAGCAGAAGGAAAATGACACATGGTTTCCAAAATCAAGTCAAATATCTGTAAAGTGTGGTGTGCATTTGTGTTTAGCCCCTCCAGACAAGCTACAATAAAACAAGCTAGCTCAATATTTAATATAGATATTACTTTAATATTTATATAAAAGTAATATTTACTGTTCTATAAATATAAAAGCTCTTACAGCAATAAAGCATCAATACATCTGAAATAAAATTATACTTTTACTGCAAAACATTAGACTAGATGGTGCAAAGAGAAGCAGAGCAAAGCAAGTAAACCAAACATTTCTCCCACTCTGGTGGTTGTGACACTTAGTTGAGCCTAATCAGTGTATTAATTTGACAGTTTTGTTTAATAACAATCGTTTAATTAGTTATTTATCCAAAATCAAATAGGATTTACCCCAACAGCTATTATTGGTAGTACGAGTAATGCTGTCTTTTGCTGGTCAGCATTGTTTAAAGAACAATATCAAACATTTTGATGTATGTTGTATTTTAAGTTATTTAATAACCCAAAACCACCAAATTCCAGTGAAGTGATTTCATTCAATGAATGAGCATGATATGAAAATGCATTGTATTTGTGCATCTACGTAAAATTTAAGAAAAATGTGAATTGTGTTGCATTTTGATCCAGTTACGTTCAATTCTATAGCTACTACTCTGCAGAACAACCAGATTGATAACCTGCCTGTCGGCAACTCACCGACTTGGAAATCCCCCGAACAGGCTTTGAAATGAGCAAAAGAAAGTTTTAAACAAATACAATCAAAATTCAGACATCCAACATTATAAACTTATATAAATGTTAAAGTAGTGCATGAAGAGAGAGAGTGAATTTACAGACCATTCTTACCATTCCCAGGGCCTCCACTCTGGATAGTGTGCGAGAGTGACCCCAAATCTTTCCTGACTTTGTCTTCTTTGGTTTCTCAAGTGACAGATTCTGTTTAAAAATAAATAAATAAATAAAAAGATTGGCTAATGCTATATGTCTTAATTAACCTTAGTAACTGCAGCTGTACAAAGCGGTCAGCCTTTGAATACCTGCGTGCTGATGATGCGTTGCAGGTCTCCGTTAGTGAAACTCTGGCCCACCTCCATGGCCTGAAGCCTCAGAATTAAACGGTTCAGCTCCGACAGGTCCAAATTACAGCGATTTAACTCTGAAACGAATCATTCTGTTCAGTCTTCTGGTTTTATTTGATTTACTAGAAAACAAATCCAATTCATTCAATGTTTATTTATTTATTATTCATGAATGTATTATTTATTTTTAGTATAAATTATGATTCCAACTTCAATAAATATATCTTCAATAAGATTTCTATTGTAAATTATTTATTTATGTATTGTAATCTTCCATTAATAATCTCACTTTTTTTTTTCAAATCCAATATTTAAGGTGAATCCAATATGGAAATATTCACTTGATCCCCTTTCTAATCAAGAAAGTATCTTTTGCCTTCATAGCTAAAATTTGATGTTTTATCTTCAATTGTGGTATGTAATTCAAGTATAATTATCTGAAGTATAATTCAGATAATTAAAAATCTGAAAAATATATTTTTTTTTTAATTGGTCCCTAGGTTACACAGTGCTAAATACATTTTATTTATAAAGGGTGAAAGCCACTGTGGTTTGTAATGGTTGATGACCTTTGATCTTTGGTCTTTGGTCTCTGGTCTGGTCTTTTCTAGCTGACTGTGTGTACAATACCTTGAACGCATGTGTCTGGATTGTGGCTGTGCCTCAGCCAGGCCGACACCTTGCTGTTCACAGCAGTGTTGGCTGATGGTAAGACCCCCGATCCTCCCGCCAAATTTTCAGTTCCTGCCGAACTCTGGTGCCGAAAAAACACACACAAAAAGTCAAAAGCAACAAAAGTGGGACTCATTTTTAATCTCCTGTAGAGAAGATTAAATGTCCGGGTCGATTCTAGTGATTTCATAGTCACCACATCTCCATTTCTGTGAGCTTGTCCAGTCTGAGTTGTGTTGGACAGCGTCTGCAGGAGGCCACTGTGAGCGTGAGTTATCTCGTTCTTTTTGTATAGGCGGTGTGCTTGCAGCTTCATCACCCAAATGTAGAAGAGATCGTGGCTTTTTGCCTAGACGATAAAAAGAAGTCTTTTGTCTTTTAGCTTGGACAGCACTCCACTTTTTTGTTTAGAGCAAATCAGCGACAATTTAATGATCATGCTTACCTTGATGTGATAGAGGATGTCTCCAGCGTCCAAGTCGATCCGACTAGATTTTTTGTTTATCGACATAACAGCATGACTAACATCTAGTGAACCCTGGACTCGACCCTTGGAGACCTGGTGGAAAAAAAATTAGATATAAGTGTTTTCAAAGCCCATAGCATAAAATTGTAGCTTCCATATTTTGTAGTGTTGAAGTTAGTATTGGCATATTTTTGAAACTGTGCAAAAGCAAATGTCAGGAAAGAAACGTGACGAATTGTAATAAGAAATCAGAAGATAACTTTGTGTTGGACTATCACATCAAATCACGATAAAATATATTGCGGTCTAGTGATATGATATAACAAAAGGTAAACACGTTGAAGGTCCATTAATATTTTGGCAAAACACTGCATTACCAGTATTTGAAGGCTTAAATGTTTACTTACATCTTGTTGGTTTTTGGAGTAGCGTAAGATTCCTGCTTCCAGAACAAAATATCTCTGTAAAATAAGAAAATCTCAAGTAAAACATCCAGAGAAATAGTACAATTATTAAATGTATTCACCTCCCATACGCCCCCTCACCTTGTGCCAGCCTTTCAGAGGCCACTTCCTCCTCTTGAGAAGATACCCCTCACACATTCCTGGAGGACTCATATCCTGAGGACACTCACTTCCTGCGTGCATTTCTACTTGAAGGTCATCAATCACTTCCCAGTCTTTGATAACCTGTTTACACGTGAGACAGAAAAACTCTTGAAATTGTGTGTTTTATTTCAAGTAGGAAGAGATTCTTCTGGTAAAAATGTACAATTTCTACAATTGTTCCAACATTTTTTTGTTTGTTTGTTTTATTTGTATTCTGCACGAAGACTGAAACTGACCTGTGACTGACCTGTCTGGAGTGACGAGATGACAGAGTGCTGCTGCTTTGAGAGAGGGCCGGCTTGTTCCACGATGGTGACGTCTTCTCCAGACCACTCGCCAGCGACTGGCTGCGATTGAGCGAAAGTTCATTCACGTCCATGTCTGTCCTCACACTCCTCTTGGTCTTGAGATTAAGAGTGTGTCTCGAAAGGCCCTCCACAATCTACTGAAAGCCTCCTGTGGACAGAAAAAGTGAAGCAGAAATAGTGAAAGGATTGACTGTTTTTTATTTTTATTTTGTTTTGTTACAGGTACAAACCTCAAGGCAGAAAGTCCAACATGAAATTTAGAGATTGTTTAGAAACTAAAATCTGAAAAGTATGGCAAGTATTCGTTCCCAGGCTTGATTTACTCTGACATCCTTAAATAATGTATGATGTGATCAATTGCTTAAGAAATCATGAAATTAATATATGAAGTTTTTGTCATGCATTCAAAATGCTATGAGGTGGAAAAACCTCATTAATTGATTAAATAATTGATTATATTTTTAGCAGTTAACAAAAACCAAGTTGTGCAGTTTAATTCGTTCTGCACAATTTTTGGATAGTTTGCTGAAATGTTAAGATTTCAGTTTCCCGATTCAGTAAAGAATCGGGAAACTCATATATTACTCTCACCTCTTTGTGTGAGTCAATAACATAAAGCCAAATAAAATATGCATTGAGCTTTGGGGTTGTAAAGTGACAAAAAGTAAAGGTCAGGGCCTGTTTATCCAGGGCACTCATGAATTTTAAGTCTTAGCTTCTAATCCAACAAGAAACCCAGATTTGCATCAATAATGCCAAATACTACTTAATAATGCACTTTTGTTAACAGATAAAAAAATCACGTATTGCAGCAAATTAAATATAAAAAGCCAGTTGCGGATGTCAGTGGCCGGTTGTTAATCTGGTGTTGTATGTGACACGATGGTAAAGGCTGCCTGCAAGAGGAAGATTAACCTTTGTCTAATTAGATTTTCAGGAGATGTTTTTAGCTACTTGGAGCAATTCGATCTCCAGCCAAAGAGCTCTGACACAACAATAAAAATGAACCTTTGCATTGAAAGATGGCAACAAACCATTACATAAGGTAGTTTGGTTAAAATTTCTCTAAGTCAAAGCAGTAAATTGCAACTTTTAAAAAATTAGCATTTAAAACTAATCTATTCAAAGTGTAATTCTTTGTAGGCTCACGTTTCATTTATTTAATTTATGTTTATTAGCTAACAGCTAGTTATTTAAGGCAATTTATTGATATTTACGTATTTTAAATGATTTAGATAGATTTCAGGATATCTTTGTGGACTTTTGTCAGCTTTGTGAATGTCTGTGTTGCTTTTGTTTTGTTTGGTTGGGTTTTGGTGGGCTGGGGGTGTTGGAGAAGAAAGTGGAGAATACAAGGAGACTTGGATGTGTTATGTAAGGGTAGAAGGATGACCACAGTAACTGACCTCAATAATGAAGGTATCACGGGGCGGAAACAGGATGAAAGGATTTGCAGGATTCTGAGCTCACTTACTCAAGAGGAAGCGCAAGAAATACACTACATCTGTTTAATGTTGTGTTTTTGTTTTGTTTTTTTTTTTGTTCTCTGCTTAAGAGTACAAAAAATAGCTCAATTGTGGTTATTTATTTGGGAACAACAATAAATCCTTTCTAGTTTTGTAGCGCTCTCTGAAGCCATTCAGTGAGTGAATTGAAATCATGTTTTCCTGCTGGCCATCAGGAGCTGCCATTTGTAGGGTGGAAGTCATGGCCAAGAAGTCATCCAAGGTGGAGGCGGCCTGCTGCCAGAGGGTGGGCGGGGTTAAAAGGCTCAGATTATGACAGCTATAATCTCTTTCTTGAAATAAAGACTGAGACAACTTCTCTCATTATTAATCCCCGGCCATGAACCACTCTGGAAAATCCAGTCGGACTAATTTGACTGATTTTGTAAATTTTCTTTGTTGGTTTTGCTCAGATCCTGTTTAAGTCCGTCTGTGTTTATTTCTTTGATCTGTTTTTGTATTTTGGTTTTCTACTTATAAAAAGTTGAAAGTAAAATGTCTCCCAAGATGGGAGAGAGTTTGTTCTTTGACAAATGAAAACTTAAAAATGTTCTCCAACAGAGAATCACATATCTGAAGAGGACAATGAAGCAGCTGCAGCTAAACATAAACTAAGATTATTATTATTAATATAGAGAGAAGTTGACTTCATTCTTCTGGTGAAGACCTGTTAACCTTTCACTGAAGAGGTGAACGCTTGGATCTGTTCAGATTAGCGCCATGGTGAGCAGCTGGTCCCTCTTATTTTGAGTCTGACTCAAAAACGTATTTTTAAAACATTTTGGAAAGTGCTTACCTGAGTTTCACCTCCGACTCTCATCCTCGGATGCCTTCTTCTTATTCATCCAGAAATATATATGTAAAAAGAACAAAAACGATTTAATCTGTTGATTAGAAATCTAGCTGGAAGTTCGAAGGGAGAGGGGGAAAAAACCTGTCTGAAAATGTTCAAATAAAGAAGTCAAAATACATGTTGGATCCACAGATTACCGACGATTCTGGCCGCATAATCTGGCGGGCCGTGCCCTCTCTGCCGGCGGGGAGACGCGGGCTGCGTCCAAATCCAAGCGGGACTGCGCGTGGCAGGGAGCGCGCGCCGTACCCATCGTGTCCTGAGCATTATCCGCATTAGCTGGTATTACAGCAACTGTCTGGAAAGGATGTAGGAGAGAAGAAATGCGGCTCCGCTGACTCTGCACGGCCACTTTACACAGTATGAAGCCCCGGGAATGAGTTGGATTATGGACTGGAGTTATGAAGTTATCTATTTAAAAGCACAATTACGCACATTTTTGCGTAAAAATGCCAAAGCGGAACCATTTTCTATAGACTCAGTACTTCGTTTTTGTAGCATCTCTTACATTTATTTATGTTAAATGTGATTATTACGGCTCACAGCAAACGAAAATTCAAATTTGAGATTTCCTAAGACCATAATATAAAGTATTTTTAATATACCATGATATACTATTTGACTTACACAATCAGGATGACGTCTGCTGACTTGACAATTGTCCAGAAGACACATAGAGGGTAAGACAAATATAAAAAGGTGGTAGTTGAAGACGTTCATAGATAGAGTGGCGAGTTCCAAAATAATAATGAAAAGTCATCTATGCGGAGAAGATGTTGCAGAAAAACATGTACATGCAACAAGGAAACCACAGCATTGAGAGAACTGTGGAACCCAAAGGCCATTCAAGAGTCAGGGGAGATTCACAAGGACTGGACTACAGTTGGCTTAAGAGCTTCAAGACCTCCACACACATGAAGAAGTCATGATTATTTTACTTCAGTACATACATTTTTTTTCGCTGTGTACCTTTTTATATCATGGGGTGTTGGTTAACAATAACTCTAAAAAATGACCAGATCCTAATAGCCATACTGACCCAGATTCCTGTACTGTAATCTGCAGATTACAGTCAGTGTTTATTTTGGTGGAAGCAGATCGTTTTAATTATATTTTACATTAAATCTCCATTTGGTGGAAAGCATCTGTAATGCATGTAATAACATAATATTTAGAAACAATCCTGCTAATTCACACCTTTAGAGAATTAGGCATATGGTACATAAATAATATTACAAAGCTAAATTTAAGCAAATTTTGACTTTGAGCATATTTCTTTTATTTACAAACACCCTAAAATTACAAGCTAAATTGACATTTTTGAAGCACTGTCCTTCAAAAATTCCACAGTGAGGCTGAAGCCATTCACGTTCTCAACTCCAACAGTACTGTTACCCCAAAGTTTGGTACCAAACAGTTTCCATTTCAGGCCCTCCTCATTCCAACTAGACATAAATCTGCAAGGCTAAAGTCCAGAGGTGTTTCTGTGAAGATCTATGAGGCGTCCTCTGCTTTCGGCGTGGCTTCGGCGCCAGCGTCCAGGCTCTGCTGTTTGATGTACTGTTGCAGAAGGGCGGAGAGATGAGCCGGGTGGCGCTGCAGCATGAAGGCTGTGCGGGACGTCAGCATGGTCAGCCCACTGACCAGCTCGCCCTGGACGACAGTCAGCGACGGCAGTTTGGAGTAACTGACCACGCCCTGTGCACTCAGCAGTGTGTTGTCTATGCAGGCGCCTGCGGAGAGATGAGATGATGTGGTTTAGAAGAGAGGCGGTGGTGCTGAAAGTGATCTGCAACAAAACTCAGGAATTCAACAAAAATGTTAGTTTTAGACATGAACAATAAGTTAGATCAGATTATATATGAAGAACTCTAAATCAGCAAGGGGATACCTTCTGTTTTTACACTGAACAATAAGTGGAGTTGTGAAAAAGGAAGAGAAGCAAAACTTTCTTATTCACCATGCTAACCTAAAGTACTTTCCAAAAATTTAAAGTGGTAGACTTTCAAAATTTTTGTGTTTATATACCCAGGAACAAAAATTAAAACAAATAGCATCCGCTACAAAATAAGATGATGTCGTTTGTAGTAAGCACTCCTCTAAGACTCACAGTTAGGCTTGATTCACAAAAAAAAGTCTATGAAATTTACTAACTTCCTCTTATTTCAGACTGATGTTAATTCTGTTTCAATGCTGTGAAATAATCAAAAGTGATGGCTGTGGAACGTTAGGTTGTTTACTGGAATCAAAGCAAATGCAGGCCAATATGGGTCCTATTGACATTAGGTTGCATTAATTGTATGATCAGATTTTATTTTTCAGATGTTACCAGATATGTACTATGCTTAGAGTTAAATCTCATTTGGAAAATCAAAACCAAGCTTTTATGTCTGGCAGATGTTTTGTGATGTGTTTATATTTCCACAAAAAATATATATTTTTCTAATGATGCCATCTATTTTACAGATAGCATCATCTCCTTATGTTTATTTTGGAGTAAGACTGAAGACCTCTCTATTTACTTGAAGGCATATTATTCTTGATGTATGTAAACACTTGACTTTGCAGAAAATAATATCTAAAATCATTTCTTTCTCTCATTATACTGGCATTCAGCAAATAGAAACGATTTTGGTGACTGACCTATTAACATTTAATCTAAATATGTCATTTCAATTGTTGTCACATACAAACTAAACATTTTTGATGGCAATTTAATTTCAATAGACCGAAAGCACCAGAAGTGGCTTTGGAAGTGGCCATTTTTCCTATTTCTTGTCAGCATATATCCTATTGTAGATGTTCACCGCAACATACAGCAGAGTAATTCTTTGGAAGCACTTATAAAACATACCTAAGAGTGTTATCTGTGGGCTAAACCTGAGAGCAGACATCATCTCTTTCACTTTTGGCTCTTTGCTCAGAAAGAGAATGGTGGGGCCAATGAACAGAGGAGCCATGTTGCTATAAACTGAGTTACTCAGGAAGGACCGCATTACCTAAAGAGACACAAAAAAAAGAAAAGAAAAAAGTCAAAACATTCCAACTGTTAAAGGTGAATCACATTCTCCTGAAAGAAACATATTTACAGTTTTCTTTCTGGGGTATGCATGCTACTTTTGCTTTATTTTTGTCCAAATGACTATAAAAGTGCAAAAATGTGCTGCAAGTTCTTTGATACAGACAGTATCAAAACTGCTAAAACTATCCACTTTAAACATCACAGTGAGAGGTTAAACTCCTTAATGCTGTTTTCATCAAGCCACAGTATCAAAACGAATCTGTGATGTGCCACTCACTGGGACTAAGGAGTCCGAGTTACCTGGTTGGGGAAAGATTTAATTTTGATGCCGTGTTTGAAAAGTCTGTGTCTGAGCATCAGCATGTCGTCAACACTGCAGGCGTTTGACTGGACCACGGCGATCATTTTGAACTCCTCAAACACTTTCTCCAAATCCTTCTTCAGGAGTAAAACAAACTGATTATCCTGAAGAAAACAAAGAAAAGAAATTTAGCAGGAAAAACTGCAAACGTTTGGGTCATTAAAAAACGAATGAATTCAGATATTCTACCCATCAGTCGGTCAGAGACAAGAGTCAGACAACTATCCTTTCATTTTCCTCAATTTTATTAAAACTAAGTCTCGTTGTCGCATCAATTTAGCTGCAGCTGCCGTCGGGGTCTCACCTCCTGGACGTGCTTTTTTTCGGACGGATAAGCCCCCGGAGGAGCGGTCCTAGCTGGAGGAATGTATTGTGTGACGGCAAGAAGCTTCTGTTTGAGAATATGAAGGGGTTTTCTGTGACGGGTCACAGCCTTGGACCCGTGTCGGACGCTCTGAATCAGAGGCAGCCAGCCTGGAAGCCACAGAGCTGGTTAGAAGTCTCCCACAACACCGGAGATGATGCAAAGTTAGCATCGGCTAGCCACGCTGCAAACTAGCCACCGTTTAACGAAAAGGTGACAGACACTAATAACAACAGACACTTATATACGCAATAAAAACACATTTCTAACATTTTAATGAGTTAAGTCTGTTTTTTAAAAACAATTAAAGGGGTTTTTACCCTGGTTTCGTTGCAACTTCACACACAAGGTCGCCGACATCTTCAACAGGAAATACGCTGTTTAAAATGCGACAAAGGAAGAAATGCTGCGTTCAATTACACGTCAGTAAAAATTACATGTTCTGACTAGAGCTAAAACTAATTAAAACTCAACACGGACCCAAACATAATTTTTATGTTTCGAATTTCAGAAATTCAGAAGAAACTTTGCTGAATTCTGTTTACATTCTTTTGATGTTTATAAAAGTTAGCTTGCATAAGTGTTTTATATAAAATGAAAGTAGCTTAATAATTAATTTTTTTAAGTGTTTAGAGTATTAAAATAAAAAGTGATTTTTTTTTCAACCAATCAAGGCATACAAAAGAGATGACAGTGATTTTGTTGCATTACTTTAATGAATGAGTTGTGGGGTTGTGTTAGGAAAGAGAGTCGAGGTTTCAGACGAAAGTAGGCAAAATATGTTTTCCCTCCTTCCTGAAAAAGATCACTTGCTCATCTTCTCTGAAGAAGGTGAGCAATTTATCCTTTTAATTCATTATTTTCTTTTCAACCCATTAATCAATGTATTTATGTCAATAGACCATGGCAAACAAGAAAACCCATGTCATCTGAACGCCTCACAACGTATTGACGTGTATTTTTTTTCTCCTTCGGTTTACTTCATGCATTTAAACCACATTTTATTTATGTCCTGCTTAAATTAGGACTGAAGGCATATTGTTTTTTTGAAAATCCACATTAAAAATCCACATTATTTTACAAAACACGAATGTTGACTTAGCACAAAAGCTGCACGTTTGCATAATCCTTTACGTAAAGGTTACGTCAGAGTAATTTTGACAAGCATGAGGCGCATACTCAATGTGAGTTTGAGACATTTTAGCCTGTTCGGTAGAAATTCCCCCTCTCCTATTAGTCTGTCTGTTGGGGAACGGGTCGCTTTTGCACTCAATTTTTGCAGCAAAACGATAAGTGACGGCAGCAACATGGATCTGAGCAACATGAGGAAGAAATATAGAGGGGATGAGGAGGTGAGTAAGCAGAAACATGCACTGTGTTGAGCAAATAAAGGCAGAAGTCACAGTCTGCAGGTGCAAGGTCACAAAGCAGCTATTTTGCATCGTGCTAAATCTGTAGTGAGAAAACTGGAAACAAGTAAACCTGCAAGAATTGTTTGCCTCATTTCGTAATGCTCCTTGCATGCTTTAGGCTTTGACCTTTTCCCAGCCATCCACTGTTTAATGAAAAAGCAAATAGGTCAGCCATAAGAAGAGAGTGACTCATTTTGGTTGAGCCTAAACAGTGAAAATGACCAATTTGGTTTGCATGATGCACCTACTGTTAAAACAAATGTTGATCCTGCAGACATTAGGTTTGTTCAACTGTAAACAAATTAAAGATTCTTGCAAAGCATTCATAACCTTGTTCCACATTCTTCTTACAAACTTAAGAGTTTTTTTTTTTTTTTTTACTGTAAGCTATAGGCTAACATAAGATCTGACTTGATATGTTCCTGCCAGTGGAACCAGTGGTGTTTAAGTGCCTACATATCATCCATCACTAGTCTTTTTTCAGATGCCTGGTTTATTTTTAGAGTATGAGAGAGAGCAAGAACTAAACGGATATCAGAAAGTGCAAATGCTGCGCAACAAAATGTATGTGTGTTTTTCCTTATTACTGTTAAACCTGTCTTTCATGGGTTTGCTGGATTTGAGAGTGTTTTGGAGTTCTTACCGTTTAGGTCCACATTCTCTTACATTCAGGGACTGTCAGCCTTGCAAAAGACATCTGAGACCTTCAGCTCTAAAATAATTTGGGCTTTGCTTTAAGGTAACAATAAGAGACTGATGTCTGCAAAGCACAGTAGAGCATAATAAAAATCAGTGGTTTTCAAGTCTTCATGTTTTAAATTTTTCGATCAGAATCGAACGAGTCCATTGTCCATTTATTTAGATAAGGTGTGTGGAAGCTCAAAAACACCTAAAACATGCCGGACAATGTGTTCTGGTGACTAGGATTTCACGAGTGGTATTTCTACTCATGAAATACCACTCATGAAATTAAGGTAATAAGGTAATAAGACACTATAGTCTGTAAAAAGAATATATCTGTTTTCTTTCTAAAACTATTTCCACTTCACACTGTTTTTGTCAAAGAGGGCCTTCCTTTGAACCGAGGTTTACAAATATTTTAAAAATAATGGCAATATGGTTCAATATTTTAAACTGTCTTTATTATCTTGTATTAGCAAATGACTACATTTGTGCATTCTCCAGAATCTTTGTACTTTTTCTGACTTCAACTCTGAAGGCCTCTGTTACTACTAATGGCTAAGCTTGAGCCATCTTCACTTAGGAGCAAAGTCCACAACAAAGTGTGTTGCCTGCATAACCTGCAGAGCTTACATATGGTTCCTTCGCTGACTCCGAAAAGAATTGGATTTTTGCGTTTCTCACTGGCTGTTCAAACTAGAAATTGCTCACCACCTGATTTCTCTCAGTGTGTGACATTTTCTCAAATTTGCTTCCTTGTTTTTTCTTTTGTGAGCTGCCTAAACAAGATATTTTTTATGCAGTGCTTTGAGGAGAGTCAACTTGGATCTTTGGACCCTATTAAGGAGTTTGGGAACTGGTTTGATGAAGCAACAAAGTGCCCTGAAGTCGGAGAGGCCAATGCTATGTGCATCGCCACAGCCTCCAAGTAGGTAACCCTACCATCTCCCTGTGACTTTGAAACTTTAAAGACTAATACCTTCCATAATTGTGTCACCTCTGTCTGACCAGGGATGGACGTCCATCTGCGCGTATGGTCCTCCTGAAAGGTTACAGCCACGAAGGTTTCCGCTTCTTCACAAACTACGAGAGCAGAAAAGGCAATGAGTTGGTATGTAAATGTGTTGTTAATCCTTATAACGCCAAAAAATTGAACGAAGCTCGAGTCGACTCGGAAGAGAATTTATTTCTCTTCCGTAAGCTCACGTCTTTCTCCTTCTAATGATGTTTTCTTGCCGAGCAGTTTAACATACTGATCTAATGCTAGCATGCTTTTTCCAGTTTTGATTCGGCCCATTATAAATTTCGTTTTTCACATATTTCATTACAGTGCCAGTCTGTTATATGTAGACAAAATTTATAAAAAAAACTTCCTTTCCTGCATCATGAATGCAGTGTATTGCTTTTAATGCTGTACAATTTAATAATAATGTTGTAACTGCACTTTGCACTTTTCCTCCTTACAGGGGAAACCTGTTTTTGTGATGATGTTCATAGAGATTGTGAAAACAATGCAGTTTTCACACAATAATTAGTTTTCTCTTAAAATGTTACTGTTTGATTCATCTCATTCATAAAATGTTAGAAAAACGTTGATGTTCCTAGTTTTCTTTCCTACATGTCTTGGACAAAAGATATATAATTTGATTGACTCAGTCAGCTGTATTTTTTGTCCTGTTAAAACAAACTTTTTAATTGCGGTGAGACAAAGCTTTGGAATCTTCTGTTAAACTGAAAAATATCAGACATTATTTAACTTTCTTTTCTTTTTAGAAATAGGAAAATTTGAAATTTACATTTCAAATTAATCTATTCAGTGACTTGAATTTCTTAAGTGATTTTTCTGAAGCCTTTGGTACAACATTCCAACAAATTAGGCAATTTGAACTAATAATTATAAATTTTTTCATAGGCTTTATTATAATCATTTAATGTCAATTTAATATGCATATTTTCTGTTTCTGACTGACATTTTATCGGCAGGAGACCAATCCATATGCATGCCTGGTTTTTTACTGGGAACCACTTAACAGACAAGTAAGAGACACTATAAAATAACTCCCTGTTTCCCAGTTTCCCCTCCACTGATGGTCAGTTTGTCGTAATTTTAATTCAAAGATTCGTATTGAGGGCTCAGTGGAGAGGATCCCCTACCAGAACTCCTGTGATTATTTCCACTCCCGGCCGAAGAGCAGTCAGATCGGGGCCGTTGTGAGCCGACAGAGTACACCAGTTCCCAACAGAGATGTAAGAGATGGCACTCTGTGTTTTAGCTCATACATGTTCATAAAACTTTTGTAGGCTGATCTTGAGTATGCTTTTCAGTACTTGAGGCAGAAAAATGCTGAACTGGAGGAAAAGTACAAGGACACAGATGTCCCAATGCCAGACTACTGGTGAGAATATTTGCATTTTTTATGCTTATTTCCAAATAATGAAAATAATTAACAAAGTTAATTATCTAAATGCACCAATTAATTAGTGCATTGGACATTTATTCCTTTTGAACAGCAGGTTGAAAACTGAAAAGTTAAAATAATTGTTTTATATTTATTAAATGCATCAAAACTAAAAAATGTCCACCATTTTCATATCTTTATAATATCAACCAACATACTTATTCTCCTTTATGTGCCTCATTGGTTATTTATTTACAGAAAAATAATTCATCCTTGTTTTCATTCCACCAGTTACATTTACTGAAGCTAAATATTGAGCATGTTGTCCGGATTAAATGAAAAGGTACCTTAGAAGACTATCAACTAAAATTCTTTCAAAATATCACAAGACAGTTTGGCTGCATGGAGGGAAAGTTTTGTCAGATTTCTTATTCTCATCATACAAAAAACTGAAATTATACTATGTTCCAGTTAGTGCAACAGAAAATAATAGAAGTGGTTCTACAAAATATTATCTTCCTTCCTTTCCAGCACTATGTGTTGTTTTGTGCAAGTCTATCAAAATATACTGAAGTTTGTGGTTGTAATGTGGCAATATGTGAAAAACTTCAAAGAGTGCAAAACTGTTTGCAAGGTGCTATTCATAAAAAGTAACTTTGCAAATGTTTGAACTGTCCACAAGCAGCATATCGGCACGATCTGCATGGTGTTTCCCCATCACACTCCAACTGCGTCCTGTGATCTTTCAGGGGCGGCTACCTGGTCAAGCCTCACTCGATTGAGTTCTGGCAGGGTCAGACCAACAGACTCCACGACCGCATCGTTTTCACCAAGGCGAAGGACGGAGAGAAACGGGGGGAGTTCCAGCACGAAGCCGAGGGAGGCTGGGTGTACCAGCGACTTTCTCCATAAGATCTACCTCCACAGATGTTCCATCCAGAACACCATGAACTTAAAAAGTAGCCAACATCTGAAGATACTGGGGGAAAACCATTTGATGTTTGTTAAATCTGTGTCAACTGTGCCTGTCGATTCTTTGACTTGAACCATGTGAACCTGCAAACTGACTGTAACACTAAACTTCATGTTTTATTTTGGCTTTAAAAAGAAACGAGGCAAGCTCGCCTCCTCAGACACAAATGAGTCGCAGCTGGTTGTTTCCCCGACTTCAGTGTCTTCACATCTTAAAAAGAGGACAGTTGTCTTTCAAGTGCAAATTCAGTTTACAGGCTTTTGCTAAAGTATTCACATCCCTCCATGTCTTTCACATTGTCTCCTGTTAAATGTTTGGTGAAATTCTTTAGGCCTTTATATGATAGAGAAACCCAACATAGTGCATATCGTGAAGTAAATGTTTACTTTACAAGTAAAAATTTTAGAAATGTTGACGATAACCATTCCCACCATCATTTTTTCAGAGTTGCCATGGTGTATTTATGGTGATGTGTAAGTTTTACTCCATATAGAGATTTGAATGTAGGCCATTAAGTTTAATTTTGGCTTTTTTGGAGCGAAGCATCTTCATGTTTCTCTGACCCGTGAAGTCTGCGCTAAACAGCTGTGCAAGATGAGATTAATTTAGCTCTGGATGTTTTCTTTAGGGCTAAGTGAGTAAATACAAATGCACACCACATTTTTAGACTTCAATTTGAAAAATAAAATATAAACAATTACTGGGTAGGTTGTGTTTTGTCCATCCCCAAATAAAATACATTGAAGTTTCTGGATATAATTTGACAAAATAGGAAGATGTTTATGCGGTGTGAATACTTGTTCAAGGTTCTGCAGCTGATGTCATGATTTCTGTCTAGAATAATATTTTAAAGTGAAAGAGAGAAAATTGAAGCAGATTTCTGATTTCAGTTTGATGTTTTCTTGGTAATACTTGAAAAGTTAATTTCTAAAATGGGAGCCTACAACGGCTGTCCAGATCCATAATCGTGTTGTTTTTTAAATACATGATTAGGCATTTAATAATCCAGTTAAAATGCCTACAAACAGATGACTAGAAAATGTGACCTGTCTTTAAAATAAAATAGCCTATAACATTAAGCCTATTAAAGTGAGGGATAAAGTAATTGTTGCAGACCATATTTGCCTTTTAACATTGAGATTAAAAGTGCTACTGCTGTCTTGTACTACTTTAAAGCCATTCATTGTTAAATTTGAAACTAATAAAGTATAATTTTGAACAAAAGCCTGAGTGTGTTCGACCAGCAGGTGGCAGTAGAGTCATAATTAAAGGAAGAAATAACTAATACCCACACATCTGAAGAAAGATAAGAACTGTCTTGCACAAAATGCTCAAATGTGCATTTAGATCCACATTTAGCTTATGAAGTTGCTTTAGTGGAGCTGTATTATTAAATGAAGAGCAGCAGTCAAGAGCTGAGTGTGAGTTACTAGTGTCTGCTTACCACCACCAGGTCAACAACAGCAACTGCTGAGGGGGAAACAGCAAACTGCTTTATAACATGACACAGTGATCTCACCAAGATCAGCTTGCTAACAGCAGCAACCATCAGAGTGTTTCCTCCTGAATATATTAATGATCTCGCATCCAGAAAGCCACCTACTGCAAAGAAAGGACCTCAGATACAACGAAATAGTTTTACTTTAATAAACATTGACATAAATAATTTCAGCAAAAGAAACGGGGGTACCTCTAACAGCTATTTCTTTAGCTTTTCATATGTTTGTTGATTTATAAAGTTGCACCTGAAAAAGTTTATTATGGTGGTATTAATTTCATAGATTAAATCAACTCTGAGCCAGTTAACCATTGGATCTTGACACTCTTATTTTCTAACTTTCCTTTTCTAGCAGTGAAAACTTTCTAATGTTAATTTGTATCTTTTGAAAGGGGATTATGTGCAGACTGACAAGGTTGTAAACGATAACAGCAACCTTCCTGCAGTAAGTTGCTGTGCTGCTTCACTAATGTGTAAACGTAACAAATGGAGATTATGTTTTATCTGTATTCTATTTATTGTCCCACTCTGCTTGGGGAAAAATATCAATTAAAAGGAACAAACAATCACAACTGTAGTTTTATATTACAATTTGTTTTTTAAGTTTCATTAGCATGTATCTGTGGTAGTTTGCCAGCTCTAACTAGCACATAAACAGAAAAATTGTGGTGGTCAGCACTGAGCTACAAAGTTTAATTTGTGTCTTATTTGGCACATGTCAAACTGGAATCTACCTATAATCAGTGTATTATTTTCTATAATTTACCAATAGACAAATAATCAAGACAATGAGGCTGAAGTCTAGATTTAACTCAACCACTGAAAGACAAGTTGACATTGTCCTATCTCCAACAGTTCACTTGAATAAGACCTCATCGTCTTTTGATCCCTAACCAAATTCCCATTCTACCATAGAGCATCTAATGTCCTTTTAAAAGCATAAAAACATTTCAAATCAATCATGAGTTAATTTTTCATTTTTTCTTAAGCCGTAACTTACACAGGAGCAGGAGGTCAATTTCTAGCCTTCTCTGATAAGGAATACAACACTAAATGAGTAGTAATAATAGTCTCTATTTAAATGTCCATTTGATGCAACTGGTACCTTTCTGCATCATTCACCCTGCCAACACGAATGACAAGCAGAGACTTAAATTCAACTGCTTAATATTTATTTACCTGCTGTTATAGTAAAAATATAATATTTTTTAAAAATAGGGCTCATTGCATTTTTAAAACCATTTACTTTTCTAGCTTCTCGTACCACCTGGCTGTGCTATGAAAAGCATCCATGGCATATATGGAACTCTTTGTATTAAGAGATGAGGTCAAAGGCACAAAATGGAGGTTTAGTGCACATCTCTCTAATAACCTCATCAATTTTCTGACTCAGAAAATGAAGAGAAAAAAAACAAGTCTAATGACATTTTCTCTGAAACAGTGCTGTATGTCATACAACTTGTTTAATTATTCAGCTTGTTCCTTATAAAAAAAACTTGACTGTTGTTTTCTGTTACCAATAAATACCAATGCAAATGTTTTCTAATGTTTTGTTGGTGTATGTGAAATAAAATTTGATACAAATGTTGAAACAGTTTATTTGAAGTTATAATTTAATGTTACCCTAAAAATCTTTACAACAGTCATTTACAAAATTTATAAACTTGCATTTGATTGATAAAAAACATACTAAACAATTATTATTCTAGCACGGTAAAAATGGACAAAAAGCCCTTCACAAGGTGATAAATCATTTTCTCAGAGTTTTTATTACTTATTTTAGATATTTACCTAGAAAACAATAGTTAACGCCATCTAAATATCTTCTGGGGCTACTGTGAACATTTAATAATTTTTCTGACATTTTGTATTTTCATCAAGTTTTGCATGTTTTTTCATAAAATTCAAGCAAATGGACTGTATCTTTTCATAAAAGGTCTTTTTCAAATCATAAAAATTCATAATTGCCACACAAAACAAAGGAGGTTAAGCTTAAGCTACTTCATTTCAGCTCTTATTTAAAAAAAAAAAAAACACCAGTGCAAACATAAAAAATGCTTGAGAACATTTGGACATTTGCTGTTAGAATTCAACATTTACAATAATGAGAGTAATGTTTCCAGAACCGGTCCCTGATTCAGTTTGTGAATATATTAATGTCGGTTTCAAGATACCACTTGTTTGTTTTAGTTACTGTAGCCACTTGGATGCGGTACAGTATGGCAATAGCCCTTGTCTGAGTGATTTATGACACTTTTATGATCTTGTGGATGTAATTGGCTATTTGTCCGTCTTGTTTTTGTGATTTTCACTACTGAGGTTGTGCTCTGCGAACAGGCTTGGGTTTTCTGCCAGCGTGGATCGGACTTTCTTTTTCTCTTTGAAGCGACCGGAGTGGGACACTTTGACGTGACGCCCTTTGGTGGCAGATTTATCCACAATTTTCTCCAGCCTTGCATTGAACTGGCTGTCCATATTGTCTGAAGAGATGCCTGCTTGGTCTTTGTTCTCATTGTTGCATCCGTGCTCTGCTGGGATTTCGTACAAAACCTTAGGTTCAGATTTCTTCTTGCGTGAGAAGGTCAGCTTCCACCAGCTGGAGTCAGCCATAGCAGCACGGAGACTGGAGGGATGGCCCTGCAGGAACCACAATGCACCGTTAAGTCGGCTGTCAGCATTCAGTTTAACCCTGTTATGACAATCAAAAGATATTGAAAGGCAAACAGTGATTGAGAATTGTAATAGAAATTTCAATGACTTCATGTTATTAAAGTAAAACATTTTTCACAAGATAAAAACAATAAAACAGATAACTAACTTTTGAATCAATACCACATGGGAGTGGGAGTTACATACTGTTAATTTCCCAGCTTTCTGCTGTGGGTTGATGTGTTGCAGAGTTGGTGTTAACATATGTTAAAAAAAACTGAAATTTAAGCTCCTTTAATTGTTTTATTATTTTTTTCCTTCTGTTTTCTGTAAATGTTCAATTAATGCTGCATGACAGTGGCAAACCGGTACTTTTGTGTTGAAGGAAATTGTGGTGTATCATTAACACTGACGAGTGGTAAACCGTATTATTTTCTTTCTTTTCTCCTTTGGTAATATATATTAGAAATAATCGTGATCCCACAATGTTTGATTTTGTGCGATCAAAATCGGATAATTCAAAATGCGACAAATTGTAGAGGTTTGCTGCTGCTGTGCTAATGTTATCATGTGTATTAATAGAGAAAGTGCAGATGGCTGAGTAGCTCTATTTTTTTTTATTTTTTCACTCCATTAGGTTGCCAGATAATGAAGCATTCAAGTAAAAAAAAAAAAAAAGGCTTGCTGGTTGGTCATGTATAAGCAACAGACCAATAATAAGGACAATACAAACAAAATTAGCTGTATTATTGAAACTCTGGGCTCCATTTTCTGAACTATTGGCTTCTAATGAAAGTGGAGTCAGAAGTGTTTGACTATTTTACGCTGAATTGCTTAATACATTGACAATAACAAATAAATGGTTTAAAAAGACTTTGACTTTAAATACCACTGCTGTTGCAGCTCTGTGCATAATTGTTTTCCATGTCGATCAGTTCAAAAGTACAAATAACAATATGCTCGTATTGTGTACACAGTGTTCGGCTCAACAGGCTCTTTCTAAGAAAGCTGAGCATAGCTATTATTGCCCTCTTTCACCTGCTGCTCATCTCTTTGGTTAGGAGTCGTAGCGACACCTGACACCTTGGTCTCAGCTGATAAATTAATGATTATCTGAACAGGATCTTCTGTTACTCCCATGTGATCTGATACGAAAAAGCTTCTCACTGATCAAGAAACAAGCTGCCAGTCTTTAACTTGCAGAGCAGAAACTTCTGTAAGGACTTGCTGCTACTGTTGTAACATCAAATTTGTCTGGATTAAATGTGTTGTGTGTATACATGTAGGGTTCTGTGATTCATTTTCATATGAATTTATTCTGTTTTTGCTTTTTGGTCACACTTGAAATGTCTCAAATTATGGAACACACTCTGATAACAAAGATAGCAAGAGTATAAATCCAGAAAACAAGCTGCGTACGATTATTTCATTTTTGAAGGAGCAAAATTCAAACCAACCTGGTCTTGCATGACAAATTAATCTATTGTTAAATTGTGGCTAAACTGCAATGAACCACATTTTTTAAATGTTCAAATCAGTTTCTCTGACCATAC